ATGAACAAAGAGAAACATGCCTGAGAACAGTGGGGCCCGTAAAAAACGAGCCACACTTGAGCGCAAGTTTCACAGACTAACCAAGCGAACCGAGCACACTGAAAACGAAGCATGGATCAGGATACTCTCCAGAAGGCAATTCACGGCAGCGGAAGAAAACGTACTTATTAAAGGACTTAATTTCAATTTCAAGGCTGCTAGTAATCTGGAGTATCTAGTCAGTCTCGAAGCGTCCTTCAAATCCAGCGACCTCGATGAAGAAACTCAGCAAGCGATATGTCAAACCATTGTCCCAGCTATCACGCGGAACAAAACACACAACGCTTTATCCCCTAAAAAAAGAAAAATAAACAGCCTTAAAGTGGATAAAAACCATCGTTATTTTCCTAGCTGACAGAGGAAGAATGACAGTCATTCCGGAGAAAGCTAAATACATCAGCAAAGCAAACACTCCACTCAATGACACAACCACATACCGCCGTCTGCAGAACAACCAAACCGCGAAGCTTACGAACAGGATAAACAAAACCCTCAAGGAATTCAAGGATCTTCACAAAATTACAGAGGAAGAATACTAGAGAATGAGCGCTCGTGACTCAGAAGTTGCCCGATTCTACGGACTTCCAAAGGTTCACAAAGAAACGGTACCATTACGCCCAATTGTTTCACTACCAGGAACAAGCACATACAGCATTTCGAGAGAATTATGAGAGCGGCTGAAATATCTAACCAATGGGTCCCAATATTCGATCAACAATGCGGGAGAGTTTCTGGAGAAACTTAAAAACGTGAAAATCGAATAGGGCGAAATAATTGTGTCCTTTGATGTAACCGCACTGTTTACATCGGTTGATTTGAATGCAGCGCGGACGACGGTCGCCGAACCCCTGGACAACCGTGGAAACATCAACGGAACGCTCGGAAAAGAAGAAACATGTGTACCGCTAGATATGTGCTTGACAGCCTACTTTGAGTTCAATGGAGAATATTACGAACTAATCAAAGGAGCGCCAGTGGTGTCACCAATCTCTGTATTCATCGCGGAAATTACAATGCAGCAACTGGAACGAATCGTACTACCAGATATCAAACCGAAACTATGGGTACGAAATGTGGACGACACATTTGCTATTGTAAGGAAAAATGAACTGCCACCTGCGGAGGAACTGCTAAACAACGTTTTTCCCGACATTCACTTCACAATGGAAACGAATAAGAACAACAAATTAGCATTCTTAGATGTGCTTGTCACAAGGACAACGGTCAACTACAAACTGAAGTATACAGGAAAGAAACGCATACAGACCAGATTCTGAATTACCAGAGCAACCATCCGAACTATCACAAGTGGAGCTGTGTTCGAAATCTATTCAAGCGGATAGAGTTACTTTGCAACACAACAGAGGCGAAGAAAAAACAGGAACGAAGACCCTTCGAGACATCGCAAAATAACGCTGACCTGAGGAATTTAATATGGAGGTGCTTACGGGACCACCACCATGCTGATCCGTCAACACAACCAGAAAGGATGAAGATTATGCTGCCGTATATCAGAAACGTGGCGGAGATGACTATACCGTTCGGTGAACGTTTGTTGATTCCTTCATACCTACCGACACTTCATGACTCTCATTCCATATCTCAGACACTGTTTGGACTATAAACTTCACCTGTATTTTCCTTGACCTTTACGTCGGATCTGCTCAAAGACCCGCGATACAATCTTGAATGTACGTTCGTATTGAATCATTGCTATGTATTAATCATTGACAGTTCTATTCAGTCGGTAACCGCTGTTTATTTGTTGTTATTACAGAACCATACCGAATAAAATACAGTCTCCTCGACTTAACGAAGGACTTCGGGTGCGTTTACTCAGATAGTATCTCAGCCGCACATCTTGCATCAACCACCTAGCTTCAAAGTGAAACCTAAAATGACTGCACGAAATCTACGGCAACATGGAAGTACAGTCGCCTTCAAGCCTGCAATCACTTTGAGAAGAACTCTCTCGAAACCAAACGGAAGGCTGGATGCCTTGAAGAATACTAACATGGTCTACAAACTTGAATGCAACGACTGCGACAAACACTATGTTGGCCAAACCGGAAGAAAACTTGCTACGAGAATACACGAACACAAGCTTGCCAGAAGAAGACATGACCCAACGTCACTTGTCTCGATTCACGAAGACAAAGAAGGATACAAGTTCAATACAAGTTCAACTACTTGCTCACGCAAGAACAAAACAGGAGCAAGAATGTGCCGAGGCGTGGCACTCCACACAGAAATCGATCAATAAACACATCGACATTAGCCCAGTCTATCAGCCGTTACAAGCAAAAGAATCACACAGTCACGGGACTCTGAGCCAAGAAACCTAACGGCAACTAACGAACTAACTGCGTCAAGAGAAGACGATCATTAAAACCAGAAGGCCAATGAATCAACAGATCCAGTGAACAAAACCCACACCACAAAGCAAGAAAGAAACGGCCGAATCACAGCAGAACACCCACACACAAAACTGCCTTATTGAATGTACCCAATAAACCAACCAGACACAGGAGATTGAGGCCACGTCAGATTCACAGGAGACTAATCAAACTACACAACGACCGTTTCCAGGACTACCAGATACTGCTTATAAGCTATATAATCATAGGCAGAAGAGAAAGAATGCATTTACGCAACCCTGCACTGACGATATCACCTCGATCGGTGATGAAACGTTTGCAATCCAACTGCCAAGCTCGGCAAACAGACCAACAACCAAACAGCGCACCCGAGCTACCTACATTCCACAACATTGATAAAACCAGTTTGAGGCATACAGTGCGATATCTTAATTTTTATGATTTAACATCCTTCTAATAAAACGGATAAAGTCTTTCACCCTGAAGAAGTGTTCCAATTTGTATCAAAACGGTCCTCAAGATAGGACGCCCAAAAGCTCTCGACAAAATAGTTTTGTAGTTGATGCCAGGCGTAATTTACTTGAGGAACGTCAGTAGTGACAAAGTTTCTTGGTTTATTATTATTGCTTTGTCTTCAAGTTTCTTATAAATTGCGTTGAACGAGTGTTGCACCTGAGGAGTTTTGGTAAAATAAGGCAGCTAGTTCATACAGTATTTAGGATATTTCTACGTCTCAGTGCGTTACTCTCCTAGTGTTTTCTACTTCACAATGAATCCAAGAGGATGCGTTGAAGGAGTTTTCAACAATGCCCGATGACAAAATAGCGCTGCAAGAATTATGGCATTGTGGCCTGAATATTTGGTGATTTCTGACTCACATTTCACCAAGCGTTATTCTTCTATCACTTCACACCAGGCTTACAACAATAGACTAGAATACGGGATGAAAAATCAGTGGCTCGATGATTCCACTGGTAGGGCAAATGAGATGGGTAATTTTTGTGACCATACATCAAGGTACTTTGCACACCGCCACAAATTCATGGATTTTATTATGATAAGGATTTTGCCATCCTCCAGCATTGTACGGAGGATGTCAACATTAAAACCTTTACCTGTCTTTTGCAGCCAATTAGTGCAGTTTGCTCGTTTCAGCTCGAGGAAAATTGTTTGATCTCATGTGTGTTGCCTTATGCATACAGTAGTGAGTTCTGGTAATCTCTTCAAGCTTTTAAGCAAAGGAAACCCTTCAGAACCACGTCTTTGTTTAGAATCACAACTTTAAGTGGTGCTTATTTGAAACATTTTATTTAGTGCGCTCCTCCGACACTGAACTTTGCAGTGGGTGATTTACCAACATAGAATAAAGATATACAACTATTGTGAACTGTATTCAACTCCATTGAGTTAAAAAAAACCTGGTTTTTGTGATCTTTTTAGCAAAGTACTTGCAAAGTTGCATACAAAGAAATTGTATGCTGTTTGCGCAATTCAAAGTAGAGCCCACAGTACGTTCAGACTGGTTTAATCTTCAAAGCCCTTTGTGGGACTTTCAACTTCCAATAACCATTTCATAGGTGTTTAGAATTCACTGACGGATACCGGTCTTCAATGTTCCGACGCAACTGAAATCATCAAACAGTAATGGGTCAAATCACTGGGACTGGTATTGCTGGGGAACACCAGAAAATTGTGCTAAAAAGGTTACGAGATATCAGCGTGATAGTAACAGTTCAACGGCTCCCTATCCACTACCTCGTAGTAACTCGGCAGCACCTTAAACGTACACAAACACTCTGATGGCGTACATAGGTTTTCCGGCATTTGTTGGACATCCACGTTTGACCAGAAACCATAATAGGTCCACATTTGGTATTAAACCGCACCATATGTGGTAAAGCCTTTTTTATGGACTGTGATGTGAGGTACGCGCTGCGCGTCGATCAGGATAAGGAAGCCCTTTTCTTAAAAGTCGGGAATCAGATTTATTCACAGAACACAGGGTGCATGTTTCATAGGAATATTTCATAGATTTTTCGCACAGACTCAACAAAGCCAAACACTGCTTAGGTAACGGGCCTCCTGAGGTAATACGGACAAGAAAATGCACCAGCGGACGGCGAATAGTCATATATTCGAAGCCCTATGAAGTCTGTGTAAATGCGAATCTTGCCCGGTTTAATCTGAGTCACCGTGCTAAGCCTATATTGAATCCTTAGACCATATGTCTCAGGCCTAAATTATGTGCCTTCATTCTACCCAGGATTTCATCACAAATTTATGTATGCTGCATGCATTGATGTGGATTATATCCGGGGTCAAATACAGACGGTATGAGCAATTTCTCTCAGCAATGTACATTGATGACGGTAGTTAGAATACGAGCATATATGCTTCTCTTCGTGCGAGAGTTATCACAGTTTGACCTTCGGAACCACCCTGTTTGCATCCAATTGTACCGCATAGGCTAAGGTGCTAAGAATTTTCCCAAATCTGAACATTCCTCTATTAGATCAAATGAAATCATTTGGCGATAGAGAAGTTCTCACAAGGACCAACAAAAAATCGGTCGGGACGACTCACCAAAACCATACAAAAACACGAATCCAATTGTCATAAATAGAATATGGAAGTTCATCAGGTTAATTGAACTGTTCCAATCAAATCCGCCACGAACGAGTCCACCCCAGACGCCAGCCAAAATCACACAAACTAAACCACATAGCTGCAAAAGATTATTTCATAATTAAGAAGCAAACCTGGGTTAAGACAAATGTTACCCAAAATAATAATTTATCCGATAGTTTTAGCATAACTATATTTTCCTTCTTCTAGGACACGCAAACAAGGTAGAAAAACGAAAAGTAGGCAAAGCTGACGGCGTATATAAACAAAAATATTATTTCAGTTGGTAAAATGAAGACCTGTTAATTTCTCACTTTACAGCTCAAGGTGGTTCGAGCAGAACGAACACGAGGGCTTTATTTCTATCCGAATTGAGTTATTCAACAGCCATTTTTTCTTGGTTACCCGAGGTTTAGCTACCTGGTTGATGGTTAATTCGTGGTTTAATGAACTTTCTTTTAAAGTGCGCTGGTTGTGAGTGATTTGGTAAGAAAGTGAAGCATCCAGAATACTAATCTGGTTGTCTTTCGAAGGGTCTACCGTTGCTGGGACCTTTCGACGGTTCCAGCTCCGTCAAAGTTTAATTCAATTTTTTTCGTAAAGTTGAAAACCCAGGTTTTACTTATTTAGGTGCATGTATGGTATCTCTGGGAGAAAGTATTTCAGATCAAATGGGTCTCCCAGAGTACGAATCAGCTGTAAATGTTTGTTTTCAGTAAGAGTAAGCTGGCGCTTAATGCTAGGTACCATTTTCGCGCGGGAGTGGATTCTGTTACAGAAACACGAGTGTATGGCTTGATAATAAGTGAACAGAAAATCGTTAATAAACTGTAAGTTTTGCATCCAGTGCTTCTTAGCTGAACGTCTGCGTTAAAAAGCGGAAGGCACAGAGAACATATGAATAAGGCCTCCGTGCGTGCAGAGATGGCAATTAGTTAAAACTCTACAGTCCTATACTGACTCCGTTCCCTAGTTTTACTTGACAGCCTAAGATGTTGGGAAATTTGCAAGAAACTAGTGAGTGTCCCATCTGGGCCATGTGCGTGCCATCTTTACGTAGCCACTTGAATAAATACATATTTGAAGTTTTCCTCGTAATGAAGCGGAAATTTGCTTAAAGTCTCGCCAGGTAAAAGTTTTGCATTCATTCTAACCCAACAACTGAATACCCAATGGAACACCAAATAGGCGTTGGAAGACAGCTCATGGGTGCAGAAATGATGCCATACATTATGACGTACTGCGATGAAAGGTTTGGAAGCCGTCGCATCACGACGAAATCTAGCCAGCCTGGTAAGCCACCAATTCCGAACAACATGAGGACAATGTGTGTCATGATACGGGAGTGCCCATCCGAGTTGTCGCGCGAGCTGACGTGCGAAACACCTTCTAGTTATGGCCTCCATTCGTAGTGCGGCCGGTCGTGTTCAAATTTACAAATTTGTATTGCTTTCTCGAATACTACGAGGTTTTCAAAGTTACCACTTCACAAGGAGGAATGTTGATTTGAGGTTTATGAGATTGGATTTATGTTTATGAGATTTCAAGAACATAAGCCCTGCAGATGTTCATGGCCTGTACCCGTAGGTCAAGGTTTGTGAACAACTGAAGTGGAAATCTTCGTTTTAGCTGGCAAAAAGCCACGTTGAGTGTGCAGTCGGACAGCTGATGGACAGCTGAGTGAACCTGGCTGACACACACATGTCTAACATTCGTCTAGGGGCATCCACTATTCCCCTGCACAAACCATACGGTTTGTACAGAGAAGCAAGCATTTGCTTTTTACAAAGGCAAATGAACCCGAGGCCCAGTAACTGCGTCATCTGTGACCTGGAAGGTGTGGAACTTGTATCTACAGGCCGGACATTAGTCGCTTTAAGGAATTTCGCCAAGGCGGTTTCTCGTGTGTAATCCACCGACATTTATTACATCCAGAAAGCATCAAAACAGCGGCATCTGCTGCCATCTGGAGAAACACATGAGGCTGTGTGAACGTTCCCCTGAATGCAGCAAAGGAATGTTCCTGGACACATGAAGTTTTGCAGGGACCGGAGGCATACCACCTGTCGCAGTAAAACCCAAATGTCTGCCGCTTACTCAGTCGAGATGGACGACACTTCCGGTGTTAACGTTATATGTCCTGAGTCCTGCGTTTCTCGCCGATTCCATTAGCTGCAAACTGCTGTACTTCGTACGAAGGGGTTTCAAGCATCGGTAGAGCCACGCCGGCGCCAAACTCCTCTCTGGTGAGTCGCAGATTTACCAGAAATCGATTGTCAAAAAACCAATATACCCTATGGTTGTGTTCAAGGCAATAAGAGGGGACCGAAAGATAGTTTCCCTGGCTCCTTGGACAGAGACACTGTACAACTAGTGATTCACGTACTTTTTGTTGATATCAAGTCCATTCAGCTGATTAACTTCTTGTGTGTCCTCAACAATCGGCTGAGCATGCTGTCCGCCCATTGTATTTGTAATATACTCACTTGTGATGCAAAATGGTGCTGGGGCTTTGATTACTGCCTACAAATATCACCTGGTTACCAGTCATGTATTGCATAAACGCCATTTCAAATACCTTGAAGAACGAAAAGCGAACAGCCCTTAGTTTCTCAACAAACATGTCTGGATCGATAATTGAAGCAGTAGAACAGTGAGTTCAAATCCGAACCGGCACTAGTTATTAAGAAGGGAGATTAAATCAAACAAATCGCTACAAAATGACGGCGGTATCGCGTGAGTTTGATTTTCATAATACATAAAGTTAATTGAATTATTTTTGTGAGAATTTTATTTTACCCGAAAAGCCTTTACAGAGAAGCGCAATATCCAACCATGGATTAGCTTCCTTTACACCGCCTTGCGAAACCTCGAGCCGAAACGTCGCAATATATTTCGCCGCAATTCATAATTTTGGATTTGCTAACAAATAACGGTCAATTTTTGTGAAAGCACAAAAACTGCAAATTATGGGGTTTTGTTAGAGTTCGTTACGGTCAGACAGAGGGAACGACAATTGTCGCCAAGATATGGACACTCCTAATGTTTACCGAATCGGTTTCGAAAGTTTGAATGTGGTGCAAAATTTAAACTCCCTGACGTCGCTTGCGGTATATGGCCAGTTGTCAATGCACCTAAAAGGAATCAAATGAAATCTTCCCCCATAAACATGTCGCAGGCAATGATGATCCTCATATTCTCGGATTTTCAAAATCTTTGCTTAACCGTAGGATTTTACATTTCGTTTTGATGGGAAAATTTACTCTCCCGTTTTCTCCTCGGGTCTTTCTTTTGGGGTTTTGTAAAATTTTGTTACTGCTTGGCCTAGTATCCTTTTGTTGCTTAACTACTGCGGAACGTGATGTTGTCGTAAGCTTGTTGACAGGAAAATGCGGCTTTTTCACACAAATTTTCTCTTTTCAAAAAACAATTGTCCGGGTTTTTCGTGTGGCATAATTTCTCAGCGGTTCCCTAGTTTTTGTTCATCCCATACCCTGCTTGATCTGCTTGCAATCATCGGCAAATTCCATACACGTTTTGTGATGCCCACCATTCAACGCAAAGGTAGATAATGGATATTCTGGACCCAAGTAACCCCCAACCTACCCTTAGTTCATCCTAGCACAAGCAATAATATAAGACACTTCATAGGTATGTGAGTGTCGACATTGCAAACATTGCCATATAATTCGCGGACGCATGAAAAGCTTTGTCACTATCCCTTATTTTCACTAGAACCGATGGAATATCAACACACGGGTCAGCTCACGCATCTGTCTTTTATGCGTGTGTCGTTATGTGTCGTTAGGTGAAGGAAAGAGACATGAAACCATCGCTCTTGCAATTATTCTGGAGTGCAGGCACATGAGCCGAAAAATTCGTGCACATTCCAAGCCTGTCAAGATGCTGTAGATTCAGTGGTTGTCAGCTCAACCTGTTGAGGTTCATGAAGTCAGAGACCTTTTACATGCTCAGAGTATGGCAAACACATCAACGTCAATCAGCTGGATGTCCGTTGAAATAGTGACCGAGGGTCGTCAGCATTTGGTGGTGGAGGTGAACCCATATGACTCAGGCAGTTCCAGACGCCGGATGATTTTCACGGAACGCCAAATTTCGGGAGCCCTAGGATGTCAAAGCTCTGTGGCAAAACATGGGCAGGGTTTGAAGTGCGATGTTAAGAACATGGTGAGTCATGGGGATTCAAAACCTCCCAGCGGTCGGGAGCCTCAGGTTCGAATAATTAACGAAGCCGCACAAACCACATGTTTGCGATAACTACTCAGTGGGTCTTAGCAGTTTCGTGGGGCGAAGTGGACTTCCAGCGCAGGGCGTCTGGTAAAAGATAAATAAATCGAAAACGGCTGGGGACCTCGATCAACATCAATGCGATCAAATTATCACGTAGTATCCATACCGACAGATTTTGTTATTCAACCTGGAGACAGTCAAGAACTTTCGCCTAATCTCCCCTAAAAAGCTCTTCAATCACATTTCCTTTGTGTTTATTTTTTCACCAGGAACACTGCTGACTAAAATAATTGCCGACAACTCTCACAACCCACTGAAATAATTGAAATATGAAAATAATATGCATCAGCGGCTGCTCCGGTTTTGGGAATCCATGCCCTGTCATAAGCATCATACTTTAAAGATGCGAGCGCAATAATCAAGGGTGACTGCGTCCCTTCATAGGGGGGCCAGCTTTTGATGGAATATCCCAAAGTTCTGTATCGAAACAAGTGGATGACATTTAAATTGCCTGTCATGAAATACATTTTTCAAACAGTATCCACCAATTTACAACGTGTTGATATGAAAGATGGAGTTTTAAGAGCAATTAAGCCGTTATAAGGCGTGATACGCCTCGAAAAACAGGTTTCGTAATCAGCATTGTATGGTTACCGATCACAGTGAGTTTTCGAATTATGTGGAGAGGACAGTCAGTGGAAGCGGTTGAGGACGCACTCTGGTCTTGAATTTTGCTCCCGGCTCCCAGTAAGTTAGCTTACAGTGCCAGACATTTTCGGACATCCCAGTTTGGACGGTCATCAGGATGTACGGGGAACAATATGGAGTAAAACTGTTGAAGTCCGTGATTACCCTAGATGGCTAGTGTGCCATCCGTGTTTTTAAACAACATTATTAGAAAGCCTGAAGTGTGCTGTCGACGTGAATCCTGAATAAATGTACTCATCACCTCGATATAAATTACACTAGACTCGTCGAATGGGAGTAATCTCAAAAACGACTGGCAACTCTATAATCACCAGTGAGAGAGAAGAGAAGGTGCATTTATTTGTGACTACTTCTTCCGTGGTAGCAAACACTTTAAGCCCACAACTCACTAGCGCACGTTCCCTTGCAATCATTGAACCACTGTCTTGAACTGAAGTATCAAACCACCGCGACCTTGGGCGGTGCTTACAAGTCCTCCGGTGCGTCAGGTTTTATCCGATGACAAAGGATCTCATCGGCGCACTTCGGGCGGTAAGTGACGAAATTTAGTTTTTTTTTTATATGGCTTACTCACATTATTTTTAACTAGGCTCAGCCTGAAGATGCCGGAGACTTACCGGATGCATCACTGTCCATTGATGGACCCCAGTACATGAACGATTTTTTCGCTCAGGTAGCTCTGAGATTATTTCTGAGTTCTTCAGGTTGAAGAAATAAGAAATCTTATCGAGCGCGTTCAGGCGTTGGTTGAAGATGTCAAGAATAAACACAGTGATATCCTGTCATCTCCCAACCAAGACGAAAGTGAGCTCAAATTCTTCAGCCTGCATGTATCTTATAGCCACCAAGGCACAGCTGGAAGAAGCCATGGCCGAGATAAAAATGATAGCGCATAAAGTTCGTGCAAAACTAAAACGTAATTCTGTGTGGTTGTGAGATATCTGTTACATTAGAGATGGAAATGAACATTGAATACGATGAAAATTCCGACAAATCCTCCGCGGATTTGCGGATACGCAAGACTCAGGTAATTCTGATAATTTCGTGACAGCGGTTAGTATTCAACAATCTCGAGGAATTTTATTGAAGTTATGACTGACTACAACAAGGCCCAAGTTGCCTTCCGAGACGCGTGTAAAAATCGTATCAAACGGCAAATGGAAATTGGTGAGTCATGTTGAATAAGTTGGGTAACGAATTTTGCTACGAAAGGATTATAATTTGTTGCGGTGACACGGTTTGTGTGCCTCCAAAACTAACTTGACTGTAGTGGGTAGTCTCTGTGTGACACTCCCAGATCCTGACGCATGAGGTTCTTCATCATGCAGCAGTCTGTTTCACAGTATCCTGATACTCAACGTGGTCACAGACTGTTCTGTTCTACACCAACCATCATTTTTTTTTAGTTTGCTGTTCAGCCAAAGGCATTAGCCGGGGACTCTAACCGTCGTTGGAACCGGAATCAGGTCCCAGGCTATACGGTAGTCCACATGCAACCACGTGCATCGTTACCTCTTGCCGCATCGGCCGCCGTATAGTGCTCTCAGCCTTGTTAACTCGCTGTAAACAGTTTAGTGGACAAGTAGAAATCGGATAGTACTGATCCGTCCATTTTCTCCTACTTCATTCTTTGAGACTGCCCCACTACGTCTACGCTTATATCGACTGTGACGGTCATGAACATTTCGAAATAATCTCTCAGTTCATCTGGCAATCTTTAACTTTCTTACCCTGAAACAAGCTAGAGAACACGCTGCTATTGTTTAACTTTGTACTTACTTCATAATATAGTGTGTTGTCTCTGAGACGTGCGTTCGGCTCTCCAGCACGGTCGTTGAGCTAACTATCACGTCGATTGGCACAGTATTTCGAACGGCAATTCAGATGGCCACCTGCTACTCCCAATCCAGAAAAGTAGACCGTAAATATGAAGCAACCTTCAGTCTCAGAAGTGTCCGAATGTATTTCTATACTCAGGCCTAATCGTGCTGCTGTTCCTGACGATCTTCCACCTGCTCTTTTCAAGGATGGCGGTGGGCTCGTCAGGCAGTGCCTGTCTAGCCTAGTTGGGTTTATCTGGAGAAAGGAGACCGTCCCAGACAAATGGGGTGAATTGATAGTGGTACCCATTTTCCGAAAGGGTACTCGCAGTGAACGTAGTGACCACAGAGGTGTTATTTTGACGCCTGTTGTGACAAGGCTTCTGGCGTCATTGATTCTTCGTCATCTTGCAGTGGCACGCGAAACCTTGGCTCATGAGAATCGAGCGGGATTTCGACCGGGTAGAGGCTGCGTTGACCACGTCTCCAAACTCCGCCAGGTGTTAGAGCAATGCCACATGTACAGACGACACAATCTCGGTATTGCTTGACTTCATGGGTGCGTTCGAATCTGTCGATCAGTCAGTGCTGTCAAATACAATTGCTCAACAGGGCATGCCCCAGAAGTTTGTAAGTGTAATCCGATCCCTATATTCACATACTTCTGGGCGGGTGAGAGTGTATGGTGAGCTCTCCAAAAGCTTCCGTACAAAAAGGTGGTGTCAACAAGGATGTCCACTCTCCCCATTCTTGTTCAACTTCGTCATCGATGAAGTAATGATGCGAACAGTGGACGGTTTTCAAAAACCCGGTGTTCAAATTGTAGCTGGTGAATGCCTTGTCGATGATGACATCGCCCTCATCTTTGAAGACCAAAGCGAAGCACAAGCCCTGTCGATTAAACTGACCACCTTCATGCCAACTTTTAACGTGCATCTTGCACCTTCAAAGTGCACAGTCATTCTTCAGAATGTGCAGTCTCCGAACATATTTCTCAGAATTCAAGAATAACCACGAGATTTTGGAAAACTTTACATACCTCGGTAGTTGTATTAGCTCTGGCGGAAGTGTCTCTGATGAAGTTGGTGCAAAAATCTCAGGCTCGATTCGCGTTTGCTAATTTGTGTCACTTGGGGCGTCAAAAAGGCATCTTACTAGATCTTAAGGATCGTGTGTACCAGGCTACAATAAGGGCTGTGTTGTTGTATGGGTGCGAGACATGGCCTCTGCGGACAGATGATATGAGGTGTCTTCAAGCGTGGCTGGTTTTGGATGACCTCAGCGTGTTAGTAACGAGGTGATAAGAAAACGAATGTTTGGTTGTGGTGCGTGTCTTGCAATCCGGGAAAAAATCAAGCATCATCGACTACGACGGCTCGGTCATGTGCTGCGCATGCTGAAGCACCGTCTACCGGGACAAGTGTTTTCTCCGTGCATTCTTCAGGGTGGCAAAAATCGCGAGGTGGACAATGCATGACTTGGCAGAAAGGCGTGAAAGAGATCACGAAGAGTTTGGGTGTTCTGGTGTTTTACGCCTTCCCAGATGGGGTCCCCGTGACCCCGTCTGTGCTTGGCTGGTGGCGTTGCGAGAAATAGCGACTGAGGCTCAGTTCAGACGAGTCCAGAAGCAGCGACAGTTGTGACCGCCTGCTACGTTTATATGCTAATCATAGACTATATCTCTGCCGGAACAACCGGAACCGCTTGGCCACATCGTTAGCTATGGGTGGAGTGCACCAATTACTGATTGGCGCTCCTTCTGGAATATCTATGTGGATTCTGATCACGCGTTTTTCTGTTGCTGCATTTTTTTGTACTTTCTGGAGGCGGGCTGGATTCACACGCCTTGTCGGGGTATTGAGATGCCGTATGCCTTAATGTAAACAAACATCCATACAACCTGCAGAAGTCTCTTGGACAATGCGTCCTATGATTTTAACCTCCACTTGGAGCTACTATATGCAAGGGGCGAGATGGCCGAAGTGGTTAGAGCGCGGATTACTAACCTGAAGGTCCGCGGTTCGAATCCGACCTCCGCCACTCGACTTCCCCTGTCTAGGCTTGGGCAACCTGGCAGTAT